CACACACACACACACACACACACACACACACACACAATCAGTTTTATCAACTTTTATGTCTGTCAGTCTTACTTCTGTTGTTTGTCCTCCCACTGATTTTTTCTAAGTTTTATTGTGTGCCCGACTGAGCACCCTTAAGTAGTGCCAAACAGTCGGTGGTTCCTCGTTTGGAGTGCCTACTGCACTCTTATGGGGGGGTGCTCGGTTCGGGCTGTCTGTGTTGCCTGTAGGTGATGACGGATGCTCGTTGGTGTGACTCCCTGGCTCAGTGGGTGGTGGGAACCAACAGTCTGCGGGGTTCAATCGTGATGTGAGTAGGTCATGTGCTGCTTTGCTCCGTGTTGGATGTGTGGACGTCTTCGTCTGCGCTCCGCCGCTGCCTTGCTGCCTGTCCCGCTTGCTTTGCGTGTGGTTCTTTGCAGGTTTATGTGTTCGTTGTGCGGTGTGGCTGTGTTGTTGGTGTTGCCTTGCGCTTCGCTGCTCCGCTGCCGTGCTGCTCATCCGTTGGTCATGCCTTCCGTGCTTGCCGCTTGTGTGCCCTGTAGGTTGGTTGCCTTGTTGCTGGTGCCTTGTGCTCCGCTCCACGGTTGCCCAGGTGCTGGTTCACTTGCCCTGTCGTCACCTGCAGTGCTGTTGCCTTGCTTGTGTTGCCTTGTGCTTCACTACACGGCTGCCGCGTTGCGTGCCATGTCGTTCCTTGCAGTCGTTTTTGGCGTTGTGCAGCCGTGTTGCCTCTACTGTGTTGCCTGGTGCTTCACAGGGTTGCTGCCCGCTGATATGTTCCTCTTGGGGACAGTCTGCCTTCAACAAGGGTCAAAGGGTTCATGACCCAAACCATCAAATACGGGGATTCCACAGATTGTCGAGGGTTCAGCCTCCTGATGAGTTTGTGCAACTCCGACGAAACAATCTTTCAGCATCTGCTTATTTTTTCCAATCACGCGGGTTCGTGTGCTTTTTGTTTCTTGGATCAATCAATCAATCAATCCATCAATCATTCAATCAACTAACCAATCACAATCAATCAATCAGTCAACCAGTATGTGTGTGTGTGCGAGGCCCAAAGCCTCGGCAAGCCCTACCGGGGCCCTCTTCACAGCATCCATGGCTGCCCTAAGTGAAGGCTGGCCTGCCAAGTGACAAGAGGCCTATTTTGTGTTGGTCACAACTGGGGGAAATTTCAGGCAGCTGCGCAGCGTCAGTTGGTTGAGTGAGCCCAGGCCCTGCCTGCGTTTTTCCAAATGTATCCGAGGCAGGCCCTGGGCCAGACACAGGGCATGAACTGAACACAGGCCGCTTGGCAGTTGGACACGGGTAACTACCCCAGGCCCTGTGGAAGATTCCCTGGGACAGGAGCTCAGCCACTTGGGGCCTACCAGAAGCTTCCGTGGAGAGGCCCAAGCCACAGGCAGCCCACGACTGGCAGCCGCTTTCCATAAAGGAAAGGGCCTGGCCGCTGGCCAGACATTCGGGCACTCGCTGCTTATGCGCAAGCGCTGCTGCGCCAGCTGCTGAAGCGAGTGCCTACGCGCTCACGGGCGAGCAGGGAAGAAGCAGGCAGCCATAGCCAAGCTGGCCTGCGCGTTGCTGGATGGGCCGCATGGTGGTCTTCGGGTGCATGTGGCATCTGTGTGGAGGATTGAGGTTGTGAGTGAAGCGAGGGACATACCTGGTGCACAGCCAGACAAAATTCGTCGGTGCTCCTGGCCCTTGATCAAAATCAATGGTCAAGAGCTAGATACCTTGGTTTTCCCCTTGGGAGCCCAAGGTCATCAATTTTCAGGAGCACCTGGTTGTTCTCCAAGGCCAGGTACTTCTGGAAATGGTTGTACTCAGCCATTTCAAGACTGCACGTTTAACTTTACAGGTGCAGTCCCATCAGCCCCTAGAAGTTTTTGGGGCTGCATCTGCTCCACGGCCGCGACCATATTGGCAACCGTTTTCCCCCTTCTCTCCTTCTTCTTTCTTCCCCTGTACCTATTCTGAACTTGCGGCCACATACGTGGTCGTTACTTACCCCTCTTTTCTTTTATTTCCCCGTTTTTATTTTCCTACTTCTTTTAAACGCGCCAGCACCTAGGCACAAGTAGTGCCAGGTTCGGGCGGTCGCATGACAACTGCTGCGTGTTTTCCTTCATGAACAGGCGCAGCTGTTCACGACCACGTCGCTTAGAGGAGGGGGAGGAAGAAAAAACTCAAAACTTAAAAAAAACGGAACCAACAACCTGGGGCTTGTCTACCGAAAAAACCCTCATAACTGCCTGTTCATAGTTGCCCTATTGCGGCTAATCCATTCCCCCTTGCCCATCCGTAGATGGGCTGTCGGAGCCCAGCCCCCTGACGAGTCGGTGAAAGTCTGACGAAATAGTCTGTGGCCCAGTCACTTCCCCCCTCCCTTTCTCTCTCTCACACATAGGCTTCCCTCAGCGCGCCTGTATTTGGTACTGCAAGAGTGCCGGATTCGGACACTCTTTCACAAAGACTGCAACCCGTTTCTCTATAACGAACGGGCACAGTCCTCAGGAAAACGAGAAGTCAAGAAAGAAAAAAAATCTAAAATCTAAAAGAAAATATAAAGAAAACAAACAAAATAACTAAAGAAGAAAAAAAACTTACCTTAAAGGGAAACGGCTACCCGTAAAAATAGGGCGTCTGCTGCAACTCTGGGGACGCTAAGTCCCCAGTCACTTCCAGTAGTTCCACTTAGCGATTAAATTTTAGTTAGTTTTCTTTTTTGTTTCCCGAAGTCGTTGGCTTATGCCAACGGTCACTTCCACGTTCGTGGTACACCCACGAACTATTGAAATACAAACCCGAGTTGAAATCTGACCGGGATCACTATAAAAAAAAAAAAAAAAAAAAAAAAAATTGGACTATTTATCAACTTATGCGCATCATTGTGCAGGAGCCATATTAACTATGCTCGGCTGATCTCAGCCGCATGATCTCATGATCGCACGATCGAGATCGGTCGCGCCAGATTCCCTATGACGGCCAACTCCAAAAGGAGCTAGCCCAGTGACACCGCAATTGAGATTTGATCCCGGTATCCGTCGAGTAAGAGTCGAGTGTTGTAACCTACTGGGCTAGCTTCTATCACGACATAGGAGCAGCTCTTCTATATGAAGAGCTTAGCCTTGGCCATCCCTCCTGCCTGTGGCCCTGCAGATCTCGCCTGCTCAAGGCTTATGAGGCCTCGTTGTTCCTAATGAACCTGCTGCAGTAAGATTGTCACGTGAGATTTGTAGGGATAAACCGATTGATAAGTTAATTTCATGAACGTTTGACGATGTGTCCAA